TTTAATTATTTGTCATGTTCTTTTTTCCCCGGTGTAACACGTAATGAAAAAAAAAGCGATACTTGTCGCAAAATTTGATACGAAAAATTTTTACATCTTTTCATATAGTAGCACAAAGACAATGTTACAAACAAGTACTGCATTTGCTTAAATATTGATAACTTTAATTATAGCATGTCGTTTATGTCACAGTAGCATTCCATTCTTTATATATCACATCTTACATAGACATGCCAAGAATAAAAGTGAATCTTTTTTTTTTATCTTCTTATCTTCTGCGATGAAGGTTTAGTAATTTTAGTTACAATATAATTTGCAATATATTGCACTGGTGTACTGCATACTTATAGTTGCTATTGAGTTTAAATAACTTAACAAAAAAAATTGACGTTCGCAGTGCTTGTAAGTCATTATGTACGAGTACATAATGTTAATAAAAGTTTTCCATACGAATTATTTTATTTTACCCTTATTAATATCTGTTGAATTTGTGGTATTGACAAATAGGAATGACAAAAAGAAATATTTCCTAATTATCTTTATGCGGCATGATAACCATTATTTTATTTCATTTACTATCTTTATCCGTGAAAGAAGCCAAAAAGAGGAAACGTATTCATAATATGCGTTTAAATACCATCTATAATTTGTACGTAAATACTTTCAAAACAAATATTCACGAGAAAAAATTTATCGATGACGAATAATTCACTGTTTATCCACAACATCCAGGTCGTAAATCTTGTTGCTGATCTTGTTCCTTGTGACTTGGTGTTCTTTTCTTGAGGCGTGCCATATCCGAATTCATCATTTTATGATGATTAAGAGGTATATTTATACTTGCTTGAGTGGTCGGTGGAAGAGCGCAGCGTCCATCCTACGATTATATCGTTATATTGATTAATAAAAAGTTAAAGAAGGAAGTTTATACAATAAATAAACATTTAAGAAATATAAATTTTTCATAAGATTAAAATTATAAAATTAAAATTATAAGAAGCATAGCGAGATATTTACGGTGACGAATGATTCAGCATCCGTGATAGAGTCGGCATGAGCAGAGGAGAACAATGATAAATGTTGAACTTCGTTTTCGATACTTCGTACGCAAACGAAGGTAAACATCATTGAGACGACCAGTAACAACTTGACGAACATCTTGCACTTTTCTACTTTGACTTCGGAGTTCGTTCTAAAATCTTCAAGTATAAGGCTTGCTCTTTTATATGGATCAATATTTGCTCGTAAATCTTTGTCATGTTACGTTATTAATGACTCTTACTTTGAAGTTCGATCAAACACCGATATGTCAAATTTGAGATATTTTAAAATCGCATATTTCTAGTCACTACTGTCAAAGATTATATCGCTCGAAGAATAAACATACATTTCGTGTGTGTATTTTAAAAGGATACGTTTAATAATGCAATTGTAATTGTGGAACATTCAATTGCCATTAAAAAAAACAAATGATTTTTCGATGACAAATATCTTTTATATTAGAAGACACAGTATGTATTTATGTATATAGTACAGAACAATAATTTTTGGTACCATCTTTATAAACGATTACATGCACACGATAATCACGTACAGTGCCTTTTTTCTTTTTTTTTTACAATGCCTTCCTAATGACTGTCGTAATTTTGTACGTATTCACGTGACTACCACAGTAATTAATCTGTTGTATATACAATTCAATAATTACGCATATGTTGCTATTGTACTTGCAATTGTGCGATAAGGAATAATTGAAGAACTTCATCTCGAGAAAAATAATCTGCGTAACGTTTCAATTGAATTTTCTCTTTTATACATTATCTATTTTAAAGATGGATCGCTCCAGACGGAATTTATATTTATATGGAAAAAAATCTGTACAAATTTGCGATAAGCAAAGAAGAAATATTTGAGATGAAAAATCGCGTAATGTTTTCTACACAGATCGTGTTACACCGATGAGTCCTGAAAAGAATAATATAACCTATTTGCATGACTCGTCCGAAGCGATACATTCTCCTCGTAAATGTATCACCTTAAATCTTACGTAAGATGTAATTATGGTGTTTTCTACGTTATTCTTCATCTATATAACATCTACGTCGCTTTGACGATACGTGGTAATCTTTAAGATATACCAATATACTTTCTTATATAACATTGATTATATTATCTGCAACGGTAGTCGATCCTTGCTGGATCTGCTGAGCGGAGGACTGTCAAAATAACATACTATAGTTAGTTATTTAATTAAATCGAAAAATGGAAAACGATAACTTTTAGATGCGACGCGATATATTAATCGATGTTTCTTTTACGTCAAATTTATATTATATATTTTCTTTTTTTACAACGTAAGAGTGATCGTGTAATAAATTGGTGTATTAGGAACGGTCAATCCTAGAGGAATCTCTCAAGAATAATATTCTGATTTTATCAGAATATTACCACGATTACGAAATTGGTTAAGTAATAAAATTGCAAAGTGAAACTTGTTCTAATCTTGAAAGAGGTTTACCAAATAAAAAAAAAATGTTATTTCCAGTTATACGTAACGATGATATATCGCCATCAGGCAATCCACGTGCTTAGCAAATCCGTGTATAATTAATCTTAAATTTAATCGTTCGCCATATAACAGGCGAATCTATTGTCATGCTTTTAGATTCGTACATCTTACTGTATATAATTAGTCTATCCGTTCCCAAGGCACCATGTTTCGATCCTTGCACCAGAGCATTAACATTTTTTTTTTTTAATGCTCTGTCTTTTTTTTTTAATCTGGCCTTTAAAAATATATATGTATATATATATATATTTTTTTCCCCTCCTTTTTTTTTACGTTTTGATTTTTGATCCTAATATCAAATTCACAAATATTCTGAATTTTTCCAGGCTGACCAGATACGATATTCAGAAATTAAATTACTGAAAATACGATACCTTCTTCCCTATATATAATCGACTAAATCATTGTATTTTATATATATATATATTTTAATTAAATTTAGTTCCTTATGCATTTTGTACAAATACAGAAATAAAATTCATTTTCAATGTACAATCGGCATACATACAATTCAATTTTGCGTACCTACATCGTATCAAGACAGAATGTTAAATGTACACCTGTAAAATATAAAAGGACTGTATACACTTCAAACTTGTGCGCGATATAATAATATACATACAAGATTGAAACTAAGTTTTTTTAAAAAAAACTTCTGATATTACTGATATACAAATAAAGTAGAACGACTCGTTCAGAAAAATCATTCATCATTATTACGATTAAATTGTCAACAGGAGTACGTAGCCTTGCCTACTCCGAGATCCACTTCCAATTGAATCGCTTAATTTTTTTAGAGAGACAAAAGAAGCTTCTTAAAATGGGATGCAATAAATGGAATTGGCATTTTTTTTTTTTTTTTTTTTTTTTTACATAACGTTATAGCTATCGGTATGTACAAAGATCCCTCGATACTTAAATTTCTGTTTCAAATCGGCGTGTACGTATACAGAGAACAATGGTCAAGTTTTTCTTTTTTTTTTTTTTTCTTTTTAATAATTCTTCCTATCTCTACGTAATATAATTTACTTACATTCAGCGTCGATTGGCATACATCTTTACACGACTTTTCCTGACCGGAAACTCTATTCTCTCTAATGTACGAAATCTTCCTCGTTTAATATCGGAACTTTATCGCTCTTTTGATTGACCCGTAACGTGGCGCCCCATTTCGCGCCCCTGCCCGCCTCCGAGGTCGCCATCAGGATCGAGTAAGAGTTTGGACTTGCCGCCTCTTTGCTGTAGTGAATCCCGTATAGAAAGTATATCAACATCCCTGTAACAAATTAAATTTTCGCCCATAATAACGAAACACGATTCGTTTCCAGGGGGGGGGGGAAAGATCGACTTACCGACGACCATCCAAACGAGGAATCGCAGCCAGGTCAAAAGCGACAAATGGAACATCAACCCTATGTTGAATAAGATGCTCAGGGCTGGTATCACCGGGACCATCGGGACCCGGAATTTACCGGTGGGAGGAGATTGTTGGTGGGCGATGATAACGAAAAGGCCTATGGAGTCACGTGTCATATGAATTAATAACAGTAAGAAAGGAAACGGCGCGAAAACGAAAATTTTCGATCTCTTACTTCCGATCAATAACAGGATGACGTTTGCCAGAACGAAATAGTCCCACAATGCGGGGGTAAAGTAAGTTTGAGATATCAGTATGAACAGAAAACACAAGGAGATGCAACCCGCCGTGTATATCATCACGGAACCCGTGACCACATCTCCCGGTTTACAACTGCCCAAAAAGTTGGCCAGCCAGATGTATCGCGATTTAAGTTTACCAGTTCCCTCGCTCAAGTCTAAGAGCTGCAAATTTGGGGGAAAGTTGAATATATAAACGAGGGGGGGAAGCATCGTTATATTTTTTCGTTATAAAATGGAAAATTATTAAAAATGGAATACCTCGGATTCGGCAGATGTGACGCTGTTGCAATCGCTGTTAGAGTCGGCGCCCTCTGTAGGTGGCGATGTCAAACTGCTAGGTGTACCCGCGTTCGACGGGGAGGGTGTAACCTTTTCAGGGCGGTATCTGAGGATGATCACGCTAGCTGAGACGATGGTGTAGGCCAGAAACGTGCCGATAGACATAAACTCGACCAAATGTTGAAGGTCGAAGAGCAGGGCGATTAAGGCACTGAGGAAACCGCTGATAGCCAAATTGAGAACGGGTACTTGGGTACGATTGTTAATATGGCCGAGAAAGCCGAACAGTAGACCGTCGTTCGCCATGGCGTACATTATTCGCGGCAACGAGAACAGAGATCCGAACAGAGTTGTCGTCATTCCGCACAATGCCCCAATACTATTGAAAAATATTATTTATGATGATTAATGAGCATGTTCTCGATGATCTTAGAATTATTATACGATTTCTCTGACCTTATCACGTATTTCGCCCATGGTATTCCAATCGACGAGAAAGCCTCGGGAAGGGCTGCAGTGGGATTGATTTTCCAATACGGTATGACCAGGGTTAAAGCGGCGCCGACCAGCACGTATCCAACAGTGACGATTGTCATTGAAAATAACGTTGCTCGAGGTATACTGTATGCAGGATCGCGAGCCTCTTCCCCGGAAGTAGCGATAGAATCGAAGCCGACGTACGCGTAGAAGCACGTTGCAGCACCTATATATATGTATATATAATAAGAAGTAAGAGATTTGTCGCAAATAAATAAGGGAATACCTGCTAATACGCCGGTAAATCCATAGGGTAAGAACCCTCCATGCTCGCAACCCCAATTGGAAAGTTTTGCGTAGGCGAATCCTAATCCGATCACCAATCCCATTACCCCTAAATTTACGATAGTGAGCAAGGAATTAACCGTTGCCGAACTCTTAACGCCCAATGTTAGCAGCATCGCGTAAAACAGGCATAATACAGCGGCTAAAACATCTGGAACACTTCCAAGCGGTTCTGCCATGGTGTATCCGTGCATTATTCGACGGCTGTAATTGCTGATCGATCCGCCTGCTAAAGAATCGACATATCCGCTCCAAGCCCTTGCCACGGATGCCGCGCCTATTTCCGGATGCAAAAGTTCAGATGCATGAAATCTATCGATCGGGATGAATCGGGGTTAATTTAAAGGAATCGTCTTTACCGATCATGTGCTCTAATATAATGTTCCATCCGATTACGAAAGCCCAAAATTCGCCGACAGAAATGTATGTGTAAACGTAAGCGCTACCAGCTTTCGGAATTCGTGCCCCAAATTCAGCGTAGCACAACGCTGCTAACAAGGAAGCTATACCGGCGAGTAAAAAGCTTAAAACTACGCCTGGGCCGGCCGTGTCGCGAGCTACTGTTCCTGTTAAAACGTAGATTCCAGCGCCAACCATATGACCAACGCCTGGAAGATAAATTTATGTAAATATATAAATATATGAGCGTGTCAAATGTCGTAAATTAGCGTGAGAATTTTTCATTATTTAACGATAATACATATAAGTCGGAAGTATTATACTACTGGGTATAATAATTATATCATTTCGGTTTGGAAACTACTTTATCGCGTACGAGAACAGGATATCGCGATAGGTGGACGTGCATGTCCTTACGATTAAAATAAAAGCATATGCTTACCGAGCAGCGTAATATCGAAGGTGGAAAGACATCTTTTCATTGGAGTTTCGAGTAAATCTCCTTGGAGTTTTTTCGTACGATTCATTTTGGTACATAAACCGGACATAACGTGTCCGAGGATCATTCGGCGTACCGATGGCATTGTCACTTATTTTAAACATAACTTCTCTTAGAATTTTCTTGTCAAACAAATATTACATTCCTTAGAAATTGCAATGCGTTTTACTTTACTTAGAATAATTCGTCCTCGAGTTTACAAATTTTCGTGAATCAAATGTCAAAACTGCTGATTATCGTACTGATAAGGAACATTTGAGAATGGACGTTTGTTTAGCAAACGCATTGCCATTCCGCTAATCGTACGTTTAATAAATTATTTTTCTACTTACATGGAATTGATTATATTCGTTTCGATTCACAATTGTTCGAGGCTTGACCGATTATGACAAAATCTAAACTGCAACGAACGAGATTACGACGGACGCTGAAATCTACGAAGAAGTCGCATGGCGCCTCCGTTAGCACGCAGGCTCGGATGTTCGATCGATTCAGCTGTGATAAAACTATTTATGTCATTCGACCACCAAGAATATGAATGAATATTCTTTTAATTGACATTGTCGCGATAATAAAGAAGAACTTGTCCTATCGTATCTCCGCATATCTAATCAATTGGAAATTGATTTTCTTTTTATTCTTGTTTTTGAATTGATACTTTATTTATTTCTAGGAGACTTACTGAATTTAGCTCTATGTGTAGAAAAATGATTATCGATAAATTATAATGTTACAATCGATTTATGTTTTAATTTACAATTAAAAATAATTTATCATCGAACATATTAATATTGTTCGATGAAATATACGCGAGAAAATGGTACCCAACAAATATTTTTGTATCTAATATAAAAGAATACAAATTTTAAAATCATACTATTGAATTTTTTTTTAATTTACAAATTGTAAAATGAATTTTATTCATTAGAATATATATATGTGTGTGTGTGTGTGTGTGTGTGTATATATATATACATATATATTTTTAAATTCTCAAAATTATACCATTCAGATGATGCAAAATAGCAATAACTCCATATGAGGGCAGCACCGTCTATGTTGTAATATATACTACAAACTTTTGTTCGATATTGGAAGTATTTGGAGCATTTTGTTAGGTGTAAAGTAACTTCTTGAAGGATATTTGTGTAAGGTAGATTCGCTTTTAGTAATCGCTCTAAAATATCATTCGAATAGTGAAATAGTGTTTGTACATAAAATATATGTATTTGAACATTCTCCGATATATTAGTAGGTTACGAAGGTGTTCTAACCTCATTCTTTACGTTTAAACAGAAAAAATAAATATAATAATTCACTGGAGAGCATTTTTTAATAGCTTTGAAACGATCTTGTTGATATTATACGATATATTTTTACATTTTGCACATCATATTTGTTATTGTAATTGATATAAATAAAACATAATAGGCTGTGCAATTGACTTTTTGTCATATATATATATATATATGTATATATTTTGTGTCTTCATTCAAAATGTGTTTATTAACAATGTATTTTATTGATATTTAATCGTGCAAGTGATAAAATATGTTTCTTTGAATTGAAGAGAAACTGTGGAATAATGATGATTGCATTAAAAAGTAGAATAATTAAAGACGATTCGTGAATATATGATTCGCTTGAGTTCTTTGCTGTTTTAGCATAAGAATAAATTTGGGGTACATAAGTGATAATATACTCACATTTTGGCACAGAATAAAATAAATATGAGTTATCACCGTGGAGGGGGTAATAAGCCAAAAGGCTTTGGGTTTGCCGGCTTTCAAATGACTGGCACAAAGAGAAGTGGTTCTAATGTACCACCACCTCCACCAAATTCTGCTCTAAGCAAACAAGGCTATCATACTATGAATTCCATCACTGAAAATGCTTTATCTGCATGTTGGGGAATGCCAAAGAAACGTAGCAAAACCGAGGAAGAGTGAGTATAAATATAAAGAAATTAGAAGAGATCAAATGCAAAGACAAATGCAAAACTAACGGGTAAAATTAGATATTTTGAGGATGACGATGATCCTCCACCATACTCCTTGGAATATATTCCGGCGCCTGGATCTCCCACTTATGATTGGATGAAAAAATCAACACCAAAGGAAGATAGCGATAGTGAAGAAGATCCTCTAGATGCATTTATGGCTGGTATAGATGCGGAAGTTAAAAAAAATAATTACGAAGCTCAACTGGCTGAAGATGAACGAAAAGAAGAGAAATCTAAGGGATTCAGAGCGGATATTGATGGTGAGGACGATGAAGAGAGTTATTACAGGTAAGAGTTCTATTAATTTTCTTAATATTATAAGAAAAAATTCGAGAAAAGAAATAACGAATTATTGATTAGGTACATGGAAGAAAATCCAACTGCGGGTTTGCAACAAGAGGAATCTGATCAAGAAATCGAATACGACGAAGACGGGAATCCAATCGCGATTCCAAAAAAAAAGGAGATAGATCCTTTACCACCTATCGATCATAGCGAAATACAATATGAATCTTTCGAGAAAAACTTTTATAACGTTCATGATGAAATTGCTAATTTAAATAAGCAACAGGTTGACGATTTAAGAAAAACTTTAGGGATAAAAGTATCTGGTCCATCTCCGCCAAATCCGGTCACCAGTTTCGGTCATTTTGGTTTTGATGATGCATTGATAAAAGCTATTAGAAAAAACGAATATACTCAACCTACTCCTATCCAAGCTCAAGCAGTTCCTGCCGCATTGAGCGGCAGAGATATAATAGGTATAGCAAAAACTGGTAGTGGCAAAACAGCAGCTTTTATTTGGCCAATGTTGGTTCATATTATGGATCAAAGAGAATTAAAAGAAGGTGACGGACCTATCGGTTTGATTCTTGCTCCTACAAGAGAATTGTCACAACAGGTAATCACAACGTATAAATATTATCTTCTAGAGACAAATTCATGGAGTATATTCTACTTACAGATTTACCAAGAAGCAAGAAAATTTGGAAAAGTGTATAATGTTCAAGTATGCTGTTGCTACGGCGGAGGTAGCAAATGGGAGCAAAGTAAAGCATTGGAAGGAGGTGCAGAGATAGTAGTCGCAACACCGGGTAGAATAATAGATTTGGTTAAAATGAAGGCTACAAATTTGACCAGAGTAACATTTTTGGTATTGGATGAAGCTGATAGAATGTTCGATATGGGTTTTGGTAAATATATTATTATATTGTAATTTAATAATATTATAATATGGGAGAAAAAAAATCTTTATCTTCATCGATTTTACGCGGTTGTTGGGAAACTTCCAGTCAGGAAAGTTTCTATTAATAATACTTTTATTTTGTTATCGCTCTGTTTAATTCTAGAACCGCAAGTACGTTCTATATGTAACCATGTAAGGCCAGACAGGCAAACATTGTTGTTCAGTGCAACTTTCAAAAAGAGGGTAGAAAAGCTTGCTAGGGACGTTTTAACGGATCCAGTTAGGATAGTCCAAGGGGACGTCGGTGAAGCGAATGCCGACGTCACACAACACGTGATAGTGTTCAATAATAACCCAACCGGTAAATGGACATGGTTATTGCAAAATCTGATTGAATTTTTAAGCGCTGGTAGTTTATTAATTTTCGTAACTAAAAAGGTCAGCAACCTGTGATATAGCTTATTAGATGAAAACAATAATCAATCAATTTTTCTAATTGTTCTTTCTTTTTTTATCATAGCTCAATGCTGAAGAACTTGCAAATAATCTTAAATTAAAAGAATTTGATGTTTTACTTTTGCACGGTGATATGGATCAAATTGAAAGAAACAAAGTAATAACGGCTTTTAAAAAAAAAGAAGTCAGTACATTAGTTGCTACTGATGTTGCCGGTAATTATACTTATCTTTGTATCTTACTATCTTACTTTAAATTTAATTTTATTAATTAATTTCAAAACTCGTTTCAATCTCATGTAGCTCGAGGTTTGGACATTCCACATATCAGAACCGTTCTTAATTACGATGTCGCTAGAGATATCGATACTCATACACATAGAATAGGTAGAACAGGTAGAGCAGGTGAAAAAGGAACAGCATATACTCTTGTAACAGAAAAAGACAAAGAATTTGCTGGTCATTTAGTCCGAAATTTGGAAGGTGCGAATCAAGAAGTACCAAAGAGCCTTATGGATTTAGCAATGCAAAGTGCTTGGTTTCGCAAGTCAAGATTTAAAGGTGGAAAAGGAAAGAGTTTGAATGTTGGAGGAGCTGGACTTGGATTTAGGGGAAGACCCGAAGCTTCTTCTACATCGGTGTTTATTTATTAAAATCTATTTAAATTTTTTTTTCAAATTTATTTATGGTGTTTAACATTTTTAAATTTAATTAAATTATCATTTAGAGTTGCAGTTCCTCATCACAAGGATCGAAGGATATAAGTGAAGTTGTTAAAAAATTAGAAAGACACGGGCCAGGTAGTGATCGGTTATCAGCCATGAAAGCTGCATTCCGTAGTCAATACAATTCTCAAGTAAATTTCATTTTAATACGATCATTTATATAAAATACAGAATTTCGAATGATATGTGAGAATTGATTTTCAGTTTCGAGCATCATCAGATCATACGTGGGAACAAACTATTACGCGACCTTCAGTGATAATGCCTCCACCACCTCCTGTACCTCCAAAGCCAAATACGGAACAATCAAAAACTCAGGATACACAAGCTTCCGGAGGAGAAAGGAAGAGAGTGAGAAAAAGTCGATGGGAATGAATATTGGTGACCGAGAAAGAGATGCTGCAATTATTTTGTGTATATTAATATTATTATCGCTAATAATATGTGCGATGAATGCCGAATTGTTTTTATATTATAATAAGATTTAATTTTACCAAATCTTTGTCCAATTAAAATTTCTTTCTTTACCCATCACATTTTGGAAGAATTTAAAATAATAATATAGGATAATAGATCGTGAAAATGAAGAGGAATTGATTCGTATGAAGGAGATGCAAAACCGATGCAATGCATGGTCCTTAACGATAAGAACTTTTTATTGTCGAGATATCTTCGATACAAAATTGAACGAATCATTTAAAATTTAAATGAGATATACTAAATCGAACCTTTTTAATAATCTAATTATTACTACGATATAATGATGTTATCATTTTTGTTATGCCAATTAAAAATGTATTTATGAGTTTAAATGAGTTTCTACAAATACCAAAAAATTAATAGAAACAAAATTGTATCATAGAAAGATAATCTCTGATGAATGAGCAATTTTTTTGAATGCAAAATTTGCATTCTTTGTATAACTTTGTATAACTTGTATAACTTAAGCTCAGCTTTCCATTAATTCACATTGAATCTGATTTAAAATTGACATAATCGATACTTCCTGTCATTCGATCGGTATACCATTTTTCGGTTAATTAAAATCGAAAATTAAAAGTTTCGTTTTCTTGGTTATTCAAATACACATAATGTATCCACGTGTTCATCGATACTACGCACTTGGAAAAAAAAAGTAGTTCTCGAAGATCGCTCGATATGGAGATTAAGTCAAGGATAAGGCTATGACGATCAATCACGTTCGATCGCCTTCTTTGATCACGCAACGCCCAGATGGGATGTTAATGACAGGTTTGTCGTTCAAGCATTTGATGACACACGTTTGCAGATTATTTATCCGCCAATTTGGTCCACTAAAAGATGACTACGTTACGAACGTTTATCAAGGATAAATTGCAAGTTGATCCTAGTCAAAGAATTCGCGTAAAAAGAAGTTTAGCGATTCGATTTCCGATATGAATCACTGTAATATTGGAAAAGACCAAAAATTCTGGAATCAGTCTTCATGGAAGGAAAGTCTATTTATGGATTAATATATTGTGGCATGGCAGGACTGCTTTTCCTTCTAATCTTTCCATTTTGTTGCGATCCGTTTAACTGACCGACAGGCTTCTTATTCGCATCGTTGTTTTTGCTAAATTTCTCCATCGCTCTGTTGTAAGATCCGGTGCAAACTCTGCCCCAAAGTCTTTTGTCTTCCGCATATTGTTTGTTTTTTCCTTCGCTTGAAGTTCTCTGAATCTCGATTCTTCTTGGTTGAACTTTGCCAAAATCTTCTTTCTCCAAAGATATGTTCGATCCCACTGTACTTCGTTGAACATCTTCCCAGGAGGCGTTCGCATCGGAATGTATACTAGAGGGCGTTGGACAACTGCTTTCACTGGACATCGAGGAAGATCTCGCAAAGGAAGGTGATACAATTAATTTCATTTTGTGATCTTCTTCCTTGGGATTCAAAGTCAAGGGTGGTTCACTTTGTGCTCGATTACTTGATCGATTCTCTCCTTCGTTCTTTTCCTGATTATCATTCAATGGTAAATTATCGTTTAAAATTATTTTCGTAATTGATGTTCTTTTTCTTAAATTTTCCAAATTCTCTTTCGGATTATTTTGACAATTATCTACCCGTTGTAAAATATCTTTTAAATTTACATTAATATTTTCCGTATTATACGTTGACTTTGTTCGATCTATATTTTGTATCTTCGGATTTTTAACGTTCGTTGTTACAAAAGTTGTCTTTTTAATCGAATCTTGAGAATTATTTTTAATATGGCACGCCATTTCGGGATAAATATAATTTGGTAATCTTTCTTTTTGACGAGTAATTACCAAACGATCCGGATTATTTAGCGTCTTTTGAAGCTTGTCATTGACTATTTCCATTACATTCGATTTGGCTCCTTTCACACACTGTTTGTACTTCTCATCAATCGTTGTATCGACATTTTCTTGAACCGTGGCTTCCGCAAAAATAGAATCTCCATTGATTTCTATTAACGGCAATGGACTCGACCATTCGGATGATATGCATTCATCTGATCCTTTGTTCTTTTGCTCTTCCATAGTATCGCTATCAGGTTTCCTCGTGCCATTTTTGGAATCAAAACTAATGACGTTATCTTCATCTTCATCTTCGTTGCCCGAGTCGACAAAATTCTTCAAAATCCCCTCGTCTTTTTCGTTCTTTTTTCTCAATTCCTCCCAGTTTTTTCGCGGCTTGTAACTCGTTTTCCGTCTCACGATCTTGCTCTCACTGATGTTAATGTCCGGTATGAATAGTCTCAAAGCTTTCGTTCCGGTCGGAAAAGTGACCTCGTTCACTCTCTTCTCAGTCATAATTGCTTCTAAACTCGTCCTCGAGGCGACTTCTTGATGCTTATTGAAGGCAGACACGAGTTGGGCCACGGTATACTTTGGCTCTTCGGTTTCGGATTCGGTCGATCGATCTTCTTTGTCGTCCGATGTTCCAGAGTTGTTGGAGTGACTCGAAGCATCGGAGTGTTGTCGCTGACAGGGTCGTTTTCCGGCTACGAGGTTCGATTCGGTGTCGCGGTTCACCGGAGTTTCGTCCGAATCTTCGGTCAACGTGTCTGATTCGATCGATTTCAACGAATCCAAATTCTCCTCCGACTCGAATGCTCGGTCCCTCGATTCTACGCTTTCTTCTCGCACCTGTGTATATCTAGATCTATCGTTAACCTCATCCGCGGCTTCCTCTCGATCTGTCCTCATCGTATTAGACTCATCTTTCTTTTCGTCGTTAACGTGCTCCTTCCTTTCTATCAATCTAGAAACATCGTCATAAGATCGGTGATCTCCTACGTTGGACGTATCTATTTCAGCACCTAACCTCTTAAAAATCGGCAATATATCCTCGGTTTTGGCTCGTTGGTAGCTCTTCCTTCTTCGTTTAAGGCACTCGAGACTTCTGTATATATCCAAAACTCCTTGAGACTTCGACAACGATCTCAATCCATACAGTTTCTCGCGTGACTTGCTGATCACGGGATTTATTATCATTCGAGGTTGCAACGAGGAATTTTGGGCCGAAGAGTTTTCGTTGAGCAAACACGCTTGGGACTGGATTCGATTCAAGCTACGTATTCTGGACAAAAGTCCACGGCTGAGACTGTGATTTAAGTTTGCCTGCGACCGACTTTGCGCTCGATCGAGCAACCCTTGGGTTTGCTCCTTGTTGAGCAAACAACTCTGACTCGCGCAGCTCAGATTCGTTCTGGATGAGTTCAAACTCGTTCGAGAATCGGCTGGGCTCGGAAAATCTTCCCCGCTACCCTCGAGACTAGATCGGCTTCCGGTGAGGCGATGACTCAGGCACATCTCGCTTTGACTCAACAAACAATCTTGCAAGCTTTGATCGGAATGATTCGACGATTCTTGGGCGTCGCTCGATAGATTCGCTTGACTGCTCGCCTGGCTCAAAAGCGCCGCTCTTCTTAGATTCTCTCGGCTGACAACTCGTTCCAGAAGAACTTCTCTCGATTTCGACAGGTATCTTCTGAGATGAGGCGACGCTTGTGTAGGCGCGCCGCGTAGCCAATCATGACGCAGGCATTGTTTCGCGGTCATTCGTGCACTGAAACATGCACGATATCATTATGATTGATTTTTGTAAATAATGATGGAATTCGAAACATTTTGTTTTTAATAATACATAAGATAATTAGAAGGAAGATTTCGAGCAACTTTAACTCAGCATCTTATCTACGAGATCTTTTGTTCCAACAATTGGTAAAGAAGATCAGTATGTATAAGAAATCTTATCCTTATAGCATTTAGTTTTTTGTTAATTAAGCAATGTAAATAATTTAGATAACAAACAAAATTGTTGATTTGATAGAAATATTATATTTTTTATAATTAAAACAAAAAATTTCATCTTCTTCCTAATTCAACATGTAATTCAACATCAAAAAAAATTCAAAATCTAAAATTTTTGAAAGTTAAGCTCGATAAGAGTTGAAAGTTTCTTTATCACTTTAACATTCGAACTTTTTCTAGGTATTTTTTTATAAAACAATGAAAACTTTCAAGCCTTGCAAGATTTGTAAAAACTTTTAAAACCTTTAGATTTCAAATCACGTTCGTTTATTGGATTTACCTCGGGTCCAGCACCAAAAGCTTCGCGACGAAATCTTTCGCCTGCGCCGATATGTCGCCGAACAATTCCTCGGGAAAGTCTACCTCGCCCAGGGATATGTTCTGAAACGTTTCTTGATCGGTTTCACCGCCGAAAGGGGAGAATCCCGTTAAGAGAACGTACGTCGTTACACCCACGGACCTTGAAAAATAATTGCAAACGATTCCATAAACGATTCGATAGGATATAAATTTAATAATCCGTGTGTTTACTTACCACATGTCCGCGGCCAGAGTGATCGGTTCGTAGTGAAGAATTTCGGGTGCTGGAATTTTAAAAAAAAAAAGAAAAAAATCATCGTCGAGAAATGGTTAGGTGAACGGTGATATCATCCAACGAACGTCACATATATTTTTATTTGAGAAAAGAAATCGATCGACCGCCGATCGTAGGCGGCGACTGGTGCCGATAGACGGAAGCCGTTTCTTCCACGCTCTAAGTGACAGTTTACCGTGCCGTAAACGTTTGTTAAAAATGTTGGATCGCGATTATTACACACCGTGAGTGAGTTTTCTCAAGGCGTAAAGTTAATAAAATTCTCGTGGCGGGAATTAATTCGACGAGCACTCTCATGAATAAAGCATCGGGACACGATCACGATTATCCGTCCTCGCGTTCATTTCGAGAAACGTTGAGCTCGATTAAGATATTCAACGATACGAGCTAGCTCTGTTATTCGACGAATCGATACGATCAACGAGGATAATGGGGCGCGTCAATTATATCGTTAAATATGCAACCTACGATCGTGAGCCTTTCATTCAACGAGCTTTATAGGACATTCTGCCTGGTTTGCGCTCGAGAGATATTGCGTTTGAGGAAAATTTCATGTCGAGAACGAGAAGTTACGAGTCAATAGACACGCGTATATTTATATTTTACAGAGACGTTTTCCTTTTCGATTCGGTTTTATCCAACGATTATTAAAAACAGTGACCAACGGTAGTGTTGGGTACGCGTTGTTGGCAGGTTTGAACAAACAGATCGAAGTTTCATTCATTGTTTGCTGAAATATAAAGTACAATTCGATATAATTTTAATATTCGACAGATTTTTACATACTCGATAAGTGTTCAAGCTTCTTGGCTTGTTCGAGCTCGATAGCAGCACATATCCAACACTAATCGTATAACAGCTCTACAGGGCTCAATATTTTTCGTTAATAATAACTCGTCAACGAAACCAAATCGAAAGTTTTCGTAAAGGAAAAAGTTGCTTAAAATCGCCTCGAGAGTCACTTCAATTAAAATCGGTCGATTCCTGAGACGTGTACTTGAAACAAGCAAAAATACAAAATATCGAATGGAAAAAAATTCTCCTTCTCTTCCTCCTGCCTGCCCAACACGTAATTAGGTTTATTAAAACTCGATTCAGTTTCGTGGACGCGATCGCGTAATGAGGCTAACGTGTCAATTAATATCGATTATGCTCGCGATCTCGCTCGAACAAGAGATCGTCAATTAACGGAGGCAAAGATATCGATTGGTGGCAATTAACCAACAACCGGGAGCAAAGTGCCGACACACGCCTGTTTACCTGTCCGTTCGCGGTAAACTCGGGTCGAAAAGTAATGCGAGCGATACATCATCGCCGATATATCGACAACGCCTATTATTTATACGTATAATCGAAAATTGAGACGGAACGAGAGGGATGACTTCGTCTCCTCTCGCATCGCCACATATATTTCTTATGAAATGGCGCGATCGATAAGATCATCATCGTTGGGGGAATGAAGCGATTGGGAGAAAAACTGCGTGCTTACCCACGTAATCCGGTGTACCGAGGATCTCTCTCACCTCCGTCCCCTCTAATATCACTCTCGAGATCTCGAAGTCGCACAGCTTCACCTCGCATTCCGGGAAAGTGCCCATCATCACCAAATTCTGCGGCTGAAAAAAAATATCGATCGATCGATTCGTATAATTCGATATATATATATATCTGTCTTTCTCTCGATATCAATTAGTCGCCGTTAATTGAGCCTTTAATTCAGCTCGGTCAAAAGCCTTCGTTATTTTTTTTTTATCTCCTCCTCCGTTTAATCGGATTTCGATCGTAAGTAAGACGCGTAAACGGCCGGTATACGATCGAGCGGCGTACTTTTCGTCTTGTGGCAATGAACGAAAAATGAGCTCGTTAATATTTTTTATGTACCCGATTATCGCGCGATCAAATTTAATTATAAACAAGCTCCCTCATTGTTCGACCGATTTTCGTCCTGTTGCATGCCGTTTCTCCTTATTAAGACGTACGCGTTTACAGATTTTTAAATGCTTAATAAACGCTTGTTTCTTTTTCTCTCTCTCTCTCTCTCTTTTTTATGTTTTGTTCAATTAGGATCATTTCCAAAGGGATCTTGACGATATAATACACGTTGCCATGGTTACGAGATATTTCGTGATCGAGACGTTCCTATGCTATAATGTAATATATAATAGTGGAATACATCACACGACGAGATACGCCACGCAATATCACTCGCTATTCGAAGTATTCCGCGACAATATAACTTGTACATCATACGGATGAAATATTCCTTGTTATTCCTTCCACGTGACGACGGGGTATATTATATATATATATATATATATCATGGAACATCACACCAGCGCCATTGACGAGATATTCCGCTATCGTTGGTGCGACGTCACGGACCAATACTCGCGAGACATCTCGCGGATATATCTTATCCATGCCGTCTCGAAAACGATATATATTATGCCGCGAGATATCTCGTCCGCACGAACCGGTGGTACTGCGTCGTTTGAGTAGTATCTTGCCTGCGGCATCGTATAAATTATATTCCGTCGCGTAATATCTCATCCGTGGCGTCGTATAAAGTATAGTATCGCGGAGTATCTCGTCCGTGACGTCATATAAGGTAGAGCGTCGCGGGATATTTCGTTCGTGACGTCATGCAAAATACACCACAGTCCAGCCAACTATCTCCGTTCCTTCGTATCATAAATTACATCGTATCGGGGAAGTACGTAGGGAGTGTAGGGTCGCCGAATAATCTCCCTATTCACGATTACAATGCTTTTAAGCTAATGAGAAATATTGCGCCGATAGATCCGAGTTTGCCGAGTGATTCACGCTTCGATTATTGTATTTCGATCCGCGAAGGAAGGAAATTAGCTATGCCTGCACGCGTTGTTTCTCCCTTCCCCAAGCATCGCGATGCGTTTCGCGCAATCCTCGATGATCCATGCAAACCCAGATAAAAGATCTCGGCTTCGAAACGCTTCGGTCCATGCAAACGAGGCTGCAACCAACTTAATCGTCGTTCCTTTTTCTTTTTCTTTCTTCGCGTCACGCTGTCACGCTCAGCAGGATATCTCTAAGGGGGGGGGAGCTAAAGGAACGCGTCTCTTGCTACCGCGTCGCGACTATTTCTTCTTTCTTTCTTTCTTTCACCGCTTTTTCCTTATTCTCCATTCACTCGAGAGAGAGAGAAGTAGGAGGAGTGGGAAGAGGATACGATACGATAGAGCCCGGGAGTTGAAAACTGAGACGAGATTCTGCGGCGGGGGGGAGCGGAGAGGGAAAGATCGGAGAGGAAACATCGCGGGCTCGTGATTCGCGCTTCATCGAGGAGAGGAGAGTACATAGCGATCATTTACATAAACACGGTAGATGCTGTTACGATAAATTCGTGCGCGCACGAAGGAATAGAATGGAATATTAAGTTTCCCGGTGGAAGCAAGCCGTGAGGGGGATCGAGGCTGCGTTCGAACCCGAGCGCCATTTTTTTTTTTTTTCTTTCCTTCCTTCCTTCTTTCTTTGCTCCGTGGGTAAAGGAAGGAGAGGGCGCTCGGGTTCGGTTTATGCAAGTGGCGTTCGATTGACGAGAGAATACGCGGCAACCTATATCCTAGATCGAGCGTCTCTCGCGAAGCCTAGATTTCCCAACGGCCGGTTTCTTCGCGTTTCCTTATACACGTCACCCGTCGCGATTTCCCAGCCTAACAAGTACACGATTCGCGTTGATCGTTACGCTAGACCCACGCTCGTTGCTCTCGAATCACCACCGATCTGGTAACGATCTAACGAAATAACGATCCGCGTTACGTAAGCGAGGAGAACGCGGGGGAAACAACAAACGGGGCAAGATAGGTAAGAAGAATGTTTGGCTGCCTCTCTCGAGAGCCTCTCCTCGGGTCCTTGGAGATGCGAGCGCGTGGGCGGTGGTATCTGAATATTCAAAGTGTATCCCCCTCGATAGGTAGTGGACAGTACCCGTGGCACGCGGCTAATAAATAATGACAAAAGGCGTAAAAATAATTCTCTCGAGGAGATGCGCAATTTGCCGAGAGGCGTCTCGAGAGGGAATCAAGGGGAACGAGACGATAAATCTTCCTATCGCTTCCTCGATGATCGACCTCTGTTCCTTATTTTTTTCTTTTTTTCGCCCGGATCCCACGCCAGACTTTCAGCGTGGGCCGCCTAGAAGAATCTTCGAAAAGAAACTTCGGCCCTTCCTCCTCAAAATTTCAATTCAACAATTCAAAAAGTCGTTGTTCGTTCAACAAACGATTATTACAAAATAAGCGCATGTTTGAAACAAAATTACCACTCGAAGCCGGTTTACTAATACAAATGATTCAATTCAATGATATCGGATCGAAAGCGAGTTACTATGCGGGTTGATTGAATTTAGAATGGAGCCGTTCCATTCAATTTCCTCTCCTCCTCCGGAAAATGTCGCGAGATTACCTGCTCCAGTTACCTGCCTATCTATAGTGATTCATCGATCTGTCGATCGCCACGAAAAATTCTTCGATCCCTTTTTCGATCGATCCCTCGATCCCCAGGTATCTCCAAGTTCCCGTTTCGGAGGAGGACGCGCGCCAGCTGTGTTCCTAGATCCTTCCTTTCTCTTTCCCGGGAATTTCGATCGCCGGTTATCAACGATTGCTCCAGTTATGGCGGCCAGACACGAGTATATATATGTACATCGAGGCGAGATAGGAACCAGGTGTGATTCACCTGGAGAGCAAGGGCGTGGTCAGCGAGGAGCGTGGGGTCTCGATATTCTGTATCCGAGCGCGGTATTCCGAGAGAGAATTTCGGAATCGAAGGTGTGTCGACGATCGATTCGGCAGCGAAGAGGCGCAGCGTCGTGTGTGCACGCACACGACACGATGCATTCGAAGCGGCCGTCCCTCTTAATACGCGCCCCACTATACCCAAATACGGCGCTCGAGCGTTTATGGAGCGGTGGAATAAGAGCGGATTCGCGCGTGATCCACGGATGATCATTGGCCGAACGAGAAGCGGCGAGAATTCGCCAACCGGCCAAGGTTCTTTCACGGCGAATTAAATTCGCCCAACTTTACGATCGAGGAGAGAATTGTTTCGCCTCTTTTGTTGGGACGCGTTCAAAGAGATATAAGATATCGCGTCCGACGGATTAACGCGGATCGAGAGGGGCTTTTGCTTCGGTTCCGCTTCGCCGGATCTTAATCGCGAATTCCCTTTCTTTTCCTTTTTTGCGGATCCCCAGGGGAAGAGGGAGGCGAGAAAAAAATTTCGAACCCTTGACCCTTTTCTTAACTCTGCTAATATATCTCAAATATCTTTATGCTGCAATTTTTTTCGTTCGTTGAGAGTTTAATTTATCATCTAGGTAGATATATTGTTTCGTTCTTTGTATTGTATTTATAAAGAAAAAAGGTAATTCGATAATTAGATAAAAATACTTCGAATGTATTTCCTAGAATTTAAAATAATTCTCGATGGAACGAGGTAAAATTGAATTGAATATAGAAAAGGTAGCAAAGAAATAAGTTTTCGTACACTTCGATTCGATTCAACCGTAGCGCGATACTTACGAGAAATTATTACAAAAAGCTGTACAATACGATACTCCCGTACAAAAATTAACCAAGAACTCTAAGCTTCGAATTACAGTTCCATAATCTTTGGGATCCTCTTTGGAAAGCAGAGCACATTGCCAGGAAAGTACAGCCGAGTAGAGAACAGGCTGGTGAACGCATGCAAATAAGCATTCGAGGATTCGAGGGGGTAAGAAGCGATTTATGCCGTCGATAAAAGTCGGCACGCGCTCGATCCTCCCGTAAAAACGTGCACATGCAAGCGCCTTGGTTCGAGGATCTTGTTCCTAAAGGCTCGTCGACCTTTCTCGTCGAATTTCTCCCGAGGATAACAACAATTCATTCTCGCCAACTTTCCTCCAAAGTTTCGTTTGTTTCTCGTTCGATCCTCGTTCGTACTCCCGTTATCGATCCTCGAACCGTTTTGATGCCTGCTCGGCAGTTAACAGCCGCGAGAAAGTCGTAAAAAACGACGACGTAGCGAAACAAAGTCCCGGGTGAAACTCTTAATTACGCCGACGTGATATTTTACGAGCGTGGGTCGCGCGCAGTTTCGGGCAAAAAATCCTCGAATCGGAGGATTTCGCGAAACCGGTCGTTATTGGTCGTTAAGAGCGAGGCAACGGTAATGCGATGGCTCGAGAGACGAGTCGAGGATACGGGAGGAGCGGGGGGGCTTTTATTCGACGACACGCCGCGCGTTGTTTCTTTTTCCGTTTTCTTATTTTTCTTTTTCTTTTTTGAACGAAAGAACGTTTCCGCGATTGGAGAAATAAAAGGTGGCCGTGTATCGATAAATTGCGCGGGTACGCATCGCTCTTTCGTTTGCAAGAGTCGCGCGAATATCTCGGCTTGTATCTCCCCTTTGTCCGGCGTAAAAGGCAATTGCAATTTGTTTACCGGCCGCTTATCGCGGAATCGCCTCGTTTCGATCGTAACGCGGCCGATCGCAATTAAGAAGCTGATCATTTCGATGGTTTCGCGAATTGGATAGATTTTTCCAATGCTTGGAATAATCGATAAGAAAAATCAAATCGAAGAGAAAGATGGAGGGAAGGAAGAATTCGTATCAATCGTACTCGAATCGTTTTGTGATTTCGTGGAAAAGAGTATTGGGGACAGGATCGCGATATCAAGGAGCCGATATCATTCGACGATATCCCGCGATATATTTGACAAAAGATCAAAGACAGAAATGTAAACGGGCAAGAAAGAATGGATATGCATACTCATTTCTTTAGATTCCAATTGCGATTCCTTTGGATAGATTCTTATTTTTTTTTTTTTTTTTTTTAAAGAAAGCTAGGAGAATTTTGGTTTGAAGAAACGATCGGAACTATCGTGTGACGGTATCGTTGAGCGGGTCTCGATTCCGGGATCCGGATATACGAGAAGCGTGACAAGTTCGTTTCGACCTTTTATGGGTCGAACTTACCTTGATGTCCAAATGGGCGATATTTCTCTGGTGGAGGTAGGCGAGTCCTTCTACTAGCTGCCTCACAAAGTGCACCACGTCACCTTCGAGGGGCACCAAATCGCCGTCGATGAGCGTCTGCATATCGCCTCCGGGGGCGCTGCAAAGTTCAAAGTTCGATCAGATTCGATCAGCAACAGACTCGGGCGAGAGAAATAAATACTCACTATTCCATCACGAGGATGATCTCCTTGGGGGTCTCGTACACGTCGTGAAGACGGACGACGCGTGGCGATTGGGAGCAGAGGGACAGCAAAGCTATCTCGTGCCTCAGCTCCGCGCTGCAGTCCGCGTTGAACCGATTTCTCGAGGAGTATTTCGCCGCGTACAGGATCCCCGTCGATCGGGATCGGCACCGATAAACTTTCGCCCATTGTCCGCTGCGAAACAAACGTCCAGGAAATAAATTAATCGGAGGGGGGAAGTGGAGGCGGAGGAGAAGGGGGGGGGGGGGGGGGGTCTCTTAAAGCGCGCGATTAAAATACGCGCCGGCTCGTAAAGTGGCCGAGAGGACAGCCGTGAAATTAGCCGACAGCCGGATTTTTACGATCGCCTCGAAGAATTTCGAGCGCCTCTCTCGCCCGGCAAGGTCGACGCCGCGGCGCCTCGCAAGGCTGCGTTTTAAAAACGACGCAGCTGTTAAACTGCTCGGTTGCGCAAAACGACAGTGGAACGTCTTCTTCTTCGTGGTCCACGACGACGAATCTCGAAAGTTCGAGGCGATCGAGAATTCCCCCCCTCCCCCTGTCAAAAAAATTCTCTTCCCCGGAGAACGTTGGAGAATCCTTCTTCTTCTTCTTCTTCTTCTTTCATCCCGGAAACGCGCGCGCGCGCTCGCTTCGTAAATTTCCAGGGAGAAAGTAGACGCCCTTGCTTGGACGCCCGCAATCCTCCTTCCCCCCCCTCTCTCCTCCCTTGCCACCGATTCGCAATTTCACCGACGTCCTTTTGGTCCAGATAAGCGCGACAGTCAAGAAACGAGGATCCGATAGCGGGTGCAATTAACTTTAATCGTTTCCAATTTGAACAAGGAGAGGGGGGAGGGGGGGGGGCGGGCCTCTCTCTCTCACCCTCGCACGATTCAAGGCGAGCGTTTCTACAGTAAGTAAATTACCAGGTGTGGCATCGAACTCGTGGATATATTACGCGCGTTATTTACAGTCGTTGACATGTCAGACAATTGGATATGAGAGAGTATCGAATGTTAGGAAAGTTTGGACGATATATTTCCACGCTTTCGTTTCCCTCGAATTAATTCCCCCCNCCCCCTCTCCCCTTCCGTTTTCGCTCGTTTTTTGCGCGTCTCGACCTCGTTTTTAGCCGTGCCTCGTTAACGAGGCAGTCGCGACTCGAAAAAACCACCCTTCGAAACTTGCTAATTCGAGGCGAGTAAGTTTGCAAAGTTTCGAATTCCCGTCCCTCCTCCTCTTTCGAAACCGACTTTCCAAAGTTAAAGAAGTCACGGATTGTCGAACGAATTATTCGAGCATATTCTCAAACTGGTGGATTGATACAGCATTCGAGGTAACAAGTTGGGAGTTTCGAATTAAAGAGAGTCGATGAAAAGTTGAAGACCGAGGCATGTTGCATCTAGGAATAAACGTATCCGTTGATTTCGACAGCCCAAGAGCCTCGAGTACCGCACTACCGACCAGATGGTGGCCAGAACAGAACAACGACGATTCATCGGTGATCGCTAAAAAGAGAAAAAGGGGGGAGGGGGAATTCCTCCACGCGTGTCGCCTTCTCGAACGACGATATTATCGTCCCCTATCGACGAGAGAGACATTCCGGCCGCCTGTCAACGGTGAACTCGGTCTTACTTCGCGAATGGTTTCGGATCGATCTCGTAATGCTCCGTGATGGGCCCCGTCTTCACCACTCTGGCGAGCTGGGCCTCCTGCACGAGAACCAACCCCTCCTTCACGTGTTTCTCGCTCCACTGCACTCTGCACCTTCCCCTGCACCTCTCCTCGCTCCCCGCTCCCCGCTCGTCACCGCGCTTCGCCTTCGCGCTCGCGCACTTCCCCGACGAGGCCTGCAAGTTTCGACGCTGCGCCCGTGGCGACGTCCTCCTCGCGGATGACATGGTCGGTGACTGATGATGGCTCGTCTGATAAATCATCGCCGGTCCTTGCTTCGCTTCGTTAACGCCCCGATAACTCGCCTCGACGAACCCGATCAAGCATAACGACAGCCTCCGCTCGAGGAAGGTAGCTCGATCACCCGGGCCCAGGGCATCGAACGCTGCAACATTCAGATTTCGTCGAGAAAAACTGTGCTAAAAACTTGAATATTTCTATTCCTCTATAAATATATATTTATAAATATATATATATATATATATATATATATATATATATTTATACCTGCGCTCGATTTCCCGACAGCCTCGAGATACACGCGACGGATTGGCTGCTTACTTTCGATTTCACCTGGGGAGAGGACGAGGGAAGAAGAATCGGAAGAGGGAATTCTTGGAACACACAGGTTCGAACACGAACGTTCACCGCATCTCGAGTTCACCGATAAGATGATGTCCGCGGCGAGGATGTTCGCATCTCGAAGTGAGCGACAGGGATCGTCGTCGTTCCTGCGAGAGATCGCGAGCTTGACGGTCGAGCGCCGCGGCAGAAACTGGCCACGAGTTGGCGAGAGACCACAAGCTTCGGCTTCGTTTTCTTTCTTGCAGCCGAGTCGCTGGACCATAGACTACCGTGCCTCTCGTTCCCTCTTTCTCTCGGACCGTCCTCCTTGGTCGCTCGTCTCCAGCCTCCACCTCTCCTCCGCGCCTAACCAGCCCTCCTCCTCCCCTCCCTCCTTCCAACTATGTCCCCGCTGCTCCACTCCTTCTTCCACTAGTGGACACGACCGTCGTCGCTGTTGCTGTTGCTGCTTTTAGCGCTGTTTTACAGCCGCAACGCTGCTGGTCTACGCTGTCTTTACGCTACGTGACGTAGGTGGTATCCAACCGAGGCACGCGATCAGAGCGCTTTCACGGAAAAAAAAGAAAGGAAATCCTAGGCAATTGTAAGGGAAAGGTGACGATTTTCAGTAATTTTTTTTTTTTTTCCTTTTACGTATAATTTCTAACGTTTTATAACTTGTCGAGATATCTGCGAAAAAGGATTGCTATTATTAGATTGTTTTATTTACGAAAAGTCATAATTTTTATTAATGTAATTAAAGAGATACGGTTTGAATAGAAATTTATTTTGTTCTGCATCGTAAAGTGTACTAGTTTCTGCACATTTGCATAAATGCATAAATATCCGCAGACCAACGTGTCAGCATGCGGCTACATCCTGACGAGTCCTTTGGATCTGCTGTACGATCAAGATCTCAATGATAGATATTAACACACAATATAATGGTTGAAACGTAAAATGCGGTTGATATTTCAAGCTTATCATAATTCCTGAAGTCAATTTTTTCGTTTCCATTATACGTGTAATATGTAAATATATATACAGAAATTGTAATAATAGCGATTTTAATCAAATATCTCGAAAAAATCATTCGAAATTATTGATTATATAATTACCGAATAATCCTCTCTAAGTTCTCCGCTTCTCCCCAATTTATTCCCCAATCCCTTTTTTCTTTCTTTCTCTGTTCCGTATCTACGATACGTAAACAGGGGGTGAAGGCGGTGAGAAACGTTGAATAATTCGTATCTGTTTCGACGAAAACACCTGTACGCCGGATCGTTTGCTCCGGATCGTTGAATCGTTGCGCGGATAACAGGCATTATTCGACTGTTTCAGCCGACGGTTCTCTTCGGCCACGGTAGTGAAACGAGATATGAGCACGATTGTAAAAGCGTTAATATGTTAATGAAGACGCGTGGGAGTCTTACCTTCGAGATTTCCATGCCCGATTACATCGCTTCTTGGAAACGAGTCGCGGTGCCGATCTCGATTCCGATCGGAATGCGCGCACCATCATATTTCCTGAGACGGCTCCGCTCATTGTCTCGTTATTTCTTAGAGAGTTTCGCTACGATATATCTCAATCGTTCGAGAACTTCCTCCTATCAACCTAGATGGAAGATGGAAGATCGCGCGTGTTGAGTTAGTCGAGGAAGAAACGGCAAGGATGCTCACTGAAAGGATACAGGCAAAGGTTTTTCCTGCTCGGCTCGTCTGTAAGGAGAAATCGATTAACGAGCCGTTTCGATCGTTCCAAGGAATCTGGACGAGTCTTAAATCTGGAAAATAACGATGGTTACTCGAAATGGAATGATCGTTTATTTATTAGGAATAGAATATTTCCCTCTCTCCAATATTCGTTAACTTTGCCCAATCCCTTAGATGATTATTCACTTAATTCGATAAAGGAAAAAAATATAACGAAGTCGTCGTTTGTGTTTTCTTCCACCTCTTCCTGATATCGAAACAATCTGAAAAAAATTATAAAGTCAAATTAAAAGATCCGCATGCAGGAGGATTTCTCGATCCAAGGAACAAGTGATTAATATTGATAGTTTTGAAAAATGAAACAATTGTTAGAAATAATTAAAAATCTATCTGTTTTTCGTACGAACGATTAAATCGATGTCGTGAAGATAGATTCTCGAAACGAAATATATATCTTCAACTTGAAGAGTTCGATTTTAATATAATATACCGAATTAAATTTTAGACTTAATATTAATCACTTTGTTCCTCGATCCCTCGTTTTCCCCTCGATCGATCAATTACGCGTCGTGACACGCGCGAATCACGAATACTCAGAACCCTCCTATTCATCGTCACCACGTTTGTTGTCCCTAGGAAAACGTACGTACGTGCGAGTGACCACGAGACCACGAGAGTGGTGACAAGCAATTAGTACCGACAATTAGCAGCGACGTGTTCGGTCGCGATCGTGCCAAGGATAATTGCTCGTTTATCCACCGCCCGCCGCTCGCCTAGTTTCAATGACGAATTCGCAAACGGTTTTTTGCGGTTTCGTTCGCCTTCGACGCGAGAAAGAAAATGCTCTCTCGACGCGCCTCTCGATTGCCATTCGACGAAATCCACGTTGTTGAACAGGCCAATTGCAAGATATTATTTCGTATGTTTGTGTCGATTTTATCGCGACGATCGCGTTTAATGGATAGATATTCATTTTTGTATTGAATCACCAGGCAACGAACCAATTGTGCACGCATTCTCTATATTCATTCCGGAGAATAATCTTAATAGAATTGTGCGAATCAAATTGTTTGAGAGCAATTTTCGAAATTTTTAGATAAAAAACTCGGCGAGTTTATGATTATCGTTTATATTACTCTCGCTCGGAGTAATAGTTTTAGAATAAAAGCAAAATCATACATTAATTACATCAACTTTAAACAATTTTGTTTTATCAATCTAGGTAATTAGGAGAGCAGAAATGAATCGAGAAAAGAAGATGTAAAATGGATTAGTTGATCGGATGAACTCCATACTGCTTCTTTAAAACACTATTTGTTAATTATCACTGTCACTGCTATGCTTTTAACTCTGTGTACTTAAATCCCTTCTCGCTATATTTTTTTAACGAAATGAGAGAATTCGATTGCCTCGGCAACGAACAAGAAGAGCTGTCGAGACAAGTAATAATAATGCTGTTAACACTATTTGCAAGGAACGACGCGTGGCGTTATACTTAAGTACTTGGTACGTTCTATCGTGGTTAATAGAGTAGATACGGCAGGCGATCGGCGGAAAACCGCCATTTATGGGATAGATCGGTAAACGGGAGTGCGAATCCGAGGCCGTGCGCCTCTTCCCTTGGGACGAAGACGAAATCAATTATCCGACGGCGATTGAACCTCGTCTGGGACGTAACACGACGTCACCGTCCCGCTTAATGATCTCTCTTTATAGATTTACCGACAGGTGTAATAAATTCTAGCAACGCATCGTTATTATTGGTGCTCCAATGGCTCGTTATTATAGCTAGGGAACTCGTCCTCGATTCGGCGAGTTGACGCGTTTCGCGGATGTGAACGTCTCACTTTTATCGAGAAGAGGAACAAAAAGATTCGTTTAATTCTTCCTTCTTTTTTCTCCTCCTCCTCGAGAATTTTTTTTTTTTTTTTTTTTTAATGAATGTAAAAGTATAATTCATTCTAAAATGTTTGCACGATTCCTGCTGATTATCAAAGCATGCATCATATCTTATAAAAGTAGTATTATTCTTTTTTCAGTTTCCTTGAAACACGTTCTCGTGTGTTTTTAATGAAATTATTTTACGAAGCAAATATTATCTTTCATCAGATTTATTTTTCGCCAAGTGGAAAGATTAAAGTTATAGAAATTAACGGAATGAAATATTATATTCTTAAAATCTTCCGAATCGCAATTAAATTTATAAGTATTTAATTCCATAAATGTTTCCTAGACGTTTCCCGTTCATCGAATTAAAAGTCATGCCGACTCTCTCGTTCTAATAAAGCAAAGCACTTTGCTCGTTGAATGTCGAATGTTCCTTCGAGAGAAAGAGAAAGAGAGGAAAGGTTTTGTTTCGTTTAATCGACGCGCGAGAACAATGGGCACGAAGGCGACAGGGAGCAGAGATTGAGCGACTGAAACTCGTTAGATTCGCGAACGAGGCAACCGGCTATTATTTACACAACGGAGGAGACATGCGCCAGTATCCACGGAGAATGCAAATTACCGACTACCATAAAGGACGGTATGATGCGTGCACTGGTTGCTCGTAATGCACGACGTGCGCAGCATGCACGTGCAACTTCTCTACGATTTACGATCCAAGAATTAGACACAATAGGAACGGCCGACTCGTGTCTAATAACCGAGTTACAGCCATACTTGGCGGCCGATTAATGACCACTGCCTCGGCAGAATTTGCAAGTTCCCCCGTTGAAAAATATTCGCGGCATTTATCTCGTCTTCGAGCTTCTTGTCAAGCCTTATCGCGACGACCTCGAGATCTTTCTTAAATAAAAATCTTTTAGAGGTGGAAATATATTTGAGAGCAAAACTCTCGAAGAGATTTGTATCGTCATACGATAACAATTTATATATTAATACTTTTCCGATTAAATTGATTTTTAACATAATAATCACAAGCACAAAGACTGCGGATGTTTATACGTTTACGTAAAAAAAAAAAAATATTCAAAGTAAACTATGCATTGTAATATTTGAAAAATTGTGTACAATACAAATTTTATTTTTCATAAATGGAATACGCCTCTAGAATACTTCTTGAACGATTGCTTCTAGTCTCGTGGCGCCTAAGAATTGTTAAATCGACGCCCGGGAAACGTTCATGCCACCTGTCGAGTTCGAATAAGGAGACGTGCTCATGGTTGCTCACGGTTATGATTTGCTAATTAAAGTTTAGATCGAGTCATGGAATCGAGCGTTTCATCCGTCAGGGAAAAATTGCACAGTCAAACAGCGACCGCCGACAAAAGCGGCGCATTACCTCTAATTACGGTCCACTGCAATTCCATCTTTGTCCGCGCTACTTTTGCGAATTTATACGCGCCAATTGTTCGCCTCGGTTACCCTTGACCGAACAAAATTCCTCATTTCTACGTTGAGCAACGCCTTCAACACTTATCCTCTTTCAATGACAAGTGTTCGTGATATTAACTTTTGAAAAATTCTAGGTTGAAGTGGCAATTCTCAGATTTTCTGCTAATACGCGCATTTATATTTGAAGGATAAAAAAAATATATATATCAAGTCCAAGAATAAACGAAATAAGTGAAAAAAAAAAACATTTTCTCTATCTAAATGATTTTAAAAAATTGTAAAAAATACAAATTTGGATAAAAAATTTTGCAGCCCGAATACTATTATTTTATCCAAATTCTAATTCAAATGGCATCACTTATATGAACTTTCGTGATCTTTGTGATACATACTTTTGATCTATATAAAAAAATTCGTTTGATTTTATCATCAGTTGAATAGTGTTCCTTGTTAGAACACGTAGTTCCATGAAATCCTTTTATATGAACGTGAATTCCTATTATGTGAACGAAAAAAAAACATAAGTGATGGGTTATATGAATTTATCTCCCGACATATAAACGTAGTTTACTGCGTATACAAAGTAATTTGATGAGAGTTATGACACGAGTACGATGTGCAAGGTAACATCTTTTATCGTTATTATGAATCTAATTGTCATTTCATTTCCGTTTACGCGGCAACGAAAAACCGTACAAAGGTTAAACTTTCCGGTGTTGGATTAGAAAGGCATTAGCAACGACTTTTGTCTCGACAGGAAATCTTGTTGGTGAATCACTATGTCACCTGGCCGCTATGTTTGCCTATTTATAGGATAAAAAGAAAACCGACGTTCTTGGAGAAGTTGATTCTCTATATGGGAAAAAATACTCGGGCTCGAATTGATGAAATATATATTCATCAATCATTCTCCGTACGTGTATTCTATTTATCACTGATTTCCGAATGATTTGCGGCATTTATTTTCGCACGTTATTAAAATTAATACAATGACAGAGATATTTACAGAAGAAAGTTTTTGTATAACGTCTATATGCGCGATTTTTCTCATCGTGATCAATCTCGATATTAATAACATTAGAGTAATAACGTAATAGTAATAATAATAGCGATAATAATAATTATTATTGTAACAGTGATAATAATAATTAATTGATCATGACAATAATAATAATAATAATAATAATAATAATAATAATAATAATAATAATAATAATAATTATAATAATAATAATATTGATAATCGATTAGATCGGAGAAGAGGACGTGCCCGAGAAAAAGAAGAGAAATGGCGCATGCCCTTCTGCGAGGGCCAACGATCGGACTAAAAATCACGCGAACAAGAGGCGAAACGCGAATAATTAAATACATTATACCGTTTACAAAACAGGCGGAAATAAATAACGACGGATTGGCCTCGAGAAATGGCAATTCGGCTTGCTCGGATGCACGCGCCCCTTCTCTATCGTGATAGTAAAATTATATTACAGGTCTCTACGATTTTCTTTGATTCTCAGAGAGATAATCGTCGATTCACGCAATACACGTTCACTCGTTTCTCTCTCATTCGTTTACTGTTCGCACTCCACGACGAGATATTTATTCGTGCGTCTGCGTATCTCATTGTGCGTTTCGGAATTTCAAAGGACGAACGCTCGTGGTAATAATATCCGCGAAGCCAAAAAAAATTCGATGAGATTCCTCGATCTACGAGGTTAGATTTCACGAAACAACGACTCCAAACGCTTTTCCAGCCATCTCTGTATCCATTTCCGTCATTTCGATCGTGTACTCGTCTGTCCCGTTCGAATTTTCTCGTCTCATTTTTCCATGTCCCCGAAATTTATAACGAAGGCACTATTTATCGAATCTGCGAATTCGAATTTACGATTCAGAACGGCTGGGAACACAAACGAGTTCGAACGAGAGGACGAGCAACTATATGACTAGTATTTACGGAGCGTGCTCTTCGATTATGGAAGTTTACGCTCCACAAGGTTTATCAGCGTTCGTCCTTAGATTTCATCTACATAAATATCTACATTTATGCGTATATTTATGCGTTTCATTTTTAACAAAGGATTTAAAAAAATCACGATCCTACCTCGTTAATCAAGCTTCTCCTCTTGATCATTCCATTCTCCACGAATGAAACTCGGTTCCGAGTATCGGTTCTTCGACGGTTAAACGATTAATTTCGTATCTACGGCAGTTGTCTCGCGATGCATTGCGACTCGTCGATAAGATAGATTTCTAGATGTACAAAGGAGAGAAGGGAAGAACAGAAAAAAGGAAAAGTATTTCGGTGGTATAGCGCGATATTCGACCGTTCGAGGGATGCAACGCATCGAACACAGATCTCCCTCGAGAAACGCTTATCGATTCAACGAGAAGAATTGGAGATGTCTAGAGCTAGTCTAGGCTCTCAATTTCGTTCGATCGTCGCCGCGATTGATTAAATCGTCCGTACGACTAAGGCACTTGTTCGTTTGCTCGTTCATCCGACTCTTCTTGGAAACATTCATTCTTTCATCACGCACGCATTTTATCTTTTCATGATGTAACGATCCGTGTTTCTGCGACGAAAAACACTACGAACAGGATGAACAAAACTAGGCACTACGAGCACTTTCTTCGCGTACAATCCATACGCGCATGCGTACACGCAAAGATAAATATTAATACGCGAGATTCTCCTTTGTATCGCACATATATCGATATAAGCATGCGCGTTTGTTATAATAAAGAATATTAAAACGACTTACACAAATACGCGGTTCTCTTAAACGTTTACGATAAAGGCACCCAAGTTATTGGATTTAGATTTTAATGGGATCCGTGAAACGGATTCATCAGCTAATTCGAGTTATTGGGAAGATCTGGTATATCGCGACCAATAATATTACAACTAGGTTAGGTAAACTTGCCGCTTAGCATCGAGTTATTCACGCGCCATTTTCCATTCGCCATTTTCCATTCTCTAGAATTTCGAACGAAGTCTGACATATGCCTGACATTTACCCATTACGTAACGATCACAAGCACAAGTTCCTCGACCTCGAGAGTAGAATAACGCGAGACGAGCTAATCTTTATAAACTTTCGTTTCGCGAACAACTCGATGCCCCGAATGCGTTCTTTTATTCTCGCAGTTCGAAAGGACGGCTGGTCAGTCTATCGGTAATGGCAGACGACGTGTCTCGCTCTCGCGATCCATCGTTCAAACATTTGTCGTCACCAATCGAATTCAATTTTTTATATACAACGATCGACACACGCACTCCTGTTTTAGTGCAATCCAATTGACCACAAGCTCTTCGCTCTCGCAAAATCTCGGTCGTCTGAATTTATTTACAACACGCGTCACGAACAATCGGTACTCAACTATCCCCACTCTATATATTTACAGCCGCCCCACTCCGCTGTTCTCGCCTACCTTTCACCTCGATTATTCGTTCGAATACCCATCTATCGTAACGCGTACGAACTATGTACTGTACATCGTAACGTAATATTTACAACGGATCCATCCATATTTGGATCCAGAACTTTGAAGCTGCTCGAGAAAGCCCTTCATAGACATATGTATCGTCCTAATATCGATGTCTACGACGCTCCTTGAACTTGAAATCGTCGAATTCGTGCTTGTACCGACTCGCATTGTACTTCGCTATATCTGGTATATCTGCCAGCTCTGACAGGCTCGCGGATTACTACTAAATTCCCGCCTCTTTCACGCAGCGCTTCTAGACCAGTCTTCCCATGAGTCGTTGGGGGCGTAGACGCTTTCCCGAATTTCGCGTTCGACGTTTCTGACGAGAATCGACTCAAAGCCTTGCTCACTACCCCGTTACATTCTCTCGGCCATATTCTCGTATGATGCCTCTGTTCCCATCTGTCGGAAGATGACTCGGTCGCCGAAAATGGAAAACTGGATCGACCTTGACTCTTTCCGTATAAAATAAAATCTAAAGAATCATCTGAATAGATGCTACTTCTATCGCTCGAACTATCGGTCGATATCTCCGATACCGAATCGCTGCCGCTGTCACTGCATTGTTGCTCCTCGCCCAGAATGAACACAGGTGTGCATTTGAACACCTCGCCGGCTGGCATTGTGTGCGTAGCCGTCGCCCTTCTTTGCGTGGTTGTCGTTACATTTGAAGAGACTGTCGTACCTGCAGACGAGACCGGCTCGATCAGCACAATCTCCGTCCCAGAGAATTTTTGCGCCAAGTTGTCCATGTTTCTTTTAAAAGTGTCCCTACGATCGGAACTCAGGCCAAATTTCATAGGTTTGGACGATAATTTTGACGTTTTTGAATACAAGTTCTCAGTATGGGAGGAGACCGCTCTGTTCGCCGTAGGTTTCGTTTCGATACTTTGACAAACATTGGACGATCTTTGTTTCTCGGAGTCGTTTTTAGAGGTAGCAGTAGACAGACACGTTTGATGTTCCGTGCTCGTGCTTGTGCTCGTGCTCGACTTCGAGAACGATTTCGCGGTTGGAGAAGCCGCGTCTTGGATAGGGGATTGATCCATCGAGGGGCAGTTGAGCGTAGATAACGATGGACGAGGGTCCTCGAACATAGCGAACCATGGATGTTGCAGGCATTCCGTGACGGTCAATCGTTCGCTGGAAAACGATAAAAAATTCGATTAAAGTCTTAAAATATAACTTGCCTATAATTTCTCCGGTATTTATGATGCGTTCTATTCCCCGTTCTATTCCCCGTGGTTTCCGGCAGAAGCCGCGGGACATCTTGTCTCCGGTAACGGGCAATCTAGTTGCGTAACGAGTCAACGAGCGGATCGAGAGGGAGGAAGGAAAACGATGCATTCACGGCGATAAAGCGCGTGCTGACAACGAGATAAGCCGAGTTTCGCGTTGGAAAGGCGCGGATATTCCGGATGGAGACTTCCTCTCAGCTGTCCGACTGGTCGTCGATAAGGAAATCTACGACTTTTTCAGCGGAACTCGTTCAACGTGCCAACGTCCCTCTTCCCGTTTCGAAGAAAGTAGCCGGCGATGGAATGTCGATCGTTCCGTCTCGTTTCCATTTCCACGTACGCGCAAGGAACTGAATTCAGGAAGGCGATCAAGTTTCGAAAGTTCTTCTGGCGCGTTTATCGCGATGCGAAAAGGCGTCAACGGCGCTGGGTCGCGTCTCGGTGGATAAGGTATTATCGGGGGAACGTGCTACTCGGAATTCCGGCACTGGTGAAAATAATGCTTTCGAAGAAGCGTGCCGCGCCATCACCTACCGAGAACGTTTACCGCTTACCGTATACCTCGAAGCGAAAGAAGATAGGCCCCGTGGAAGGCGTCGATCTCGAGAACGTTGTTAGTTGGTTGGTTGGCGTACGTTGGCATTATTTAGCTTCTAGGAACGAAAGCAATCGCTTTACGCGGTAGACGCCGCGATGTTAGATCGCGACATTCCGACGTAGTTGCACCGTTTTCATCGAAATACCGATAGAGGCTCGGATGGATTCCGACTACTACTCACTTTGGATCCTTGACCATCAGCTTGCGCATAAGATCGCGCGCCTCTTCGGAGACGTCCTCGAAGAGATCGTCGGGGAAATCTAGGCGACATCGGCTAATGTTGCAGAACGTTTCCTGTTTTGTATCACCTCCGAATGGGGAGCATCCCGTTAGCAACACATAGAGCAATACCCCAATGGACCACATGTCTGTTGCCAGGCTGATCGGCTCGTAGTTCAACACCTCTGGAGCTGAAACGACCATGAGACGCGACTTGAATGACGATGGCCAGAAGAAAAAGAAGCATTGAAAGACGCGTAACGAATAACAGTTCGTGGGAACAGTGGTATACTGTTATACGTGTATACCATATGTATATGCATATGACTCACGAAATTATGCATTTTGAATCTCATAAGGAAATTCATCTAATCCGAAGAATGTAATTTGAATGAAAGTATATAGATTGTAATACGTGGAATAATTTTATCGAGAAATCTCTTTGAAATGAACGTTCAAAATAAAAATAATTCGTAATGGAAGAAAATTATATTTTTAAAACAGAGAGAGAACGTATTGTTAGCTTGTGGATTTTCACTTTTTTAATCCTTATGTATTATTCAATATGGATGTATCCTTAACATAAAATTGGAAATTTGTTATTTTCTCTTCGAACGATTTTCAAATCCAATTGAATTCTTATTATTCCTCGTATTTCCTATCAATTTATATCCAAGCTTGAAATTTCATTAGAAAATAAATGAGATCAGAAATTTTATAATATCCTTAACTTTGATTGTTCACACTTAAAATAACATTTGACAAGATAAAAATTCATCATTAACATATTGTTAAAAAGATTAAAAAGTGTACAAATACTTTCTTGGGCCACTGTACACAATGTACACCATTCAACTTGGCTGCGACCGTTAGGGCAATGTTAAAAGTAATCGCAAAAGTAATCGCAGGGCTTGTATAAATGGGTCTTCTTCCCGATCAACGATCGAGGCAGAGCCCACGCTCAACTTTCTTACCGCTCGAAAAGTGGCTTGCACTGTTCAATTATGCAACGGCCCCTGTTCCCCTAATGGAATTACGCGGTACAAAACGAGCCGCAAAGTCGATTTACCTTGCGAATACTTGCTACCAACTGTTCGATCGTTGGCTCGAGTACCAAACACCGTGGAAAATTTCGATTAACGAAATAAGTGAAGAGGTTATGCACTTACCCACGTAATCAGGCGTGCCCAGAATCTCCCGTATGTCCGCGCCATGGCTGATGTATCGCGAGATACCGAAGTCGCAAAGTTTCACGTCGCAATCCGGAAACTCGCCAGTCAGGACCAGATTTTGAGGCTGCAAACAACGAGGGAATTGAGATTAGAACGATGGATAATGGAAAAGAATTCGGTTAAAAAAAGGGAGAAGATTATTTCGCGATTGATCTTGAGGGATGCTTTCGAGAATCGGCCAGACCGCCAACGGAGACAAAAGAGTTCGTTATTTTCTTTCATCGTTCCGTGTAATTGGTTGCAGCTCGCGAGCTCTTGAAAAAAAAAAAAAAAAAACGAAACGGTTGCATTTCATCTCGAAGAAACCGAAGAAGCATTCCGTTTCTTAATAATTTCATATTTTATCCGTGATATTTACGAACGAATGAGGAAAATTTTAGGAAAAGTATTAAAAAATAAACAAGAACATAAAAATTACTGTTTCTTCGAAGAAAGAAATGATAATAAAATTA